TATTTCTTCAGGAGAGGTTTCAGTAAATAAAATTTCTAGGTCAAAGGATATGCAGTTTTAAAAGGTTTATGATTTGTATTGTTATACCGCTTTCCAGAAAGTTTGTAACAATGAATATTCACTGGTTTTTCAAAATGCACTATTTTACCTTCCCCAGCATCCACTTCCATGGGCAAGTAGTTTTAGTTTCATTTCTTTGACAGTGGTCTTGACATCTTTTTATATGCTCTTTGAATCTTTAGCATTACGTCTGACTAAAGCCCAGGTATTCCTAGACCAATGGGCACTGAATACAGCTGATGAATAACTACCTTAGGACTTCTTTTGTTTTTCTTTCTTGCAACTGGCTGGTAGAGGGATCCAAACCTTGTAACTTTGGTGTTATAAGGCTGCACTCTAAGGACTTCTAAAATGCAAAACTTCAGGGATCTATCTAGGAAATTTATTTCAAAGGCAGAAGAGCTAGTCAAATTTTAAAGTCCCCCCATGATACATCCCCAAAGATGACCTAGGGTCAAATGCAGATATTTTAAGAGCTACCAAGATTGAATTCTTTGGGCCTGACTTAAAATAATTAAAACAATAATAACTAAATTTTAATTTAGATAAATTAGAATCAAAAATCTTAGAGGAGGGCTGGCCAGTTAGCTCAGCTGGTTAGTGCACAGCCTTGTAATACCAAGGTTATTATATAATATCAGTTCCCTAAACCGGCCAGCCATAAAAAAAAATAATAATAGTGATTTAAAAATAAAATAAAATCTTAGAAGAATCTAAGATGGGCCTTCAGGTTCTATGTGTCCAAGGAATGAGAAATATAACCTTTTCTTTTTTTTTTTGTCCTTTTTTGACACTGGCCGCACCGCACTCAGCCAGTGAGCGCTGTGAGCTCCAGAGGCGGGAGCGCTGCTGTGCTCCCAGCGCCGCACTCTCCCGAGTGCGCCACGGGTTCAGCCCAAGAAATATAACCTTAAACTGCTCATATACAGTCTCTCAGAGAACAGACAGGTTATTACATAGCATTCCTTTTTTGGAGTGAATATGACCAACATCTAACTATCCTATTTTCAGTTTGATAGTAAAAGGTTGATAGCGGTAGCAGTTTTTAGAATAGCCTAAAAATCTGTTCAGAATGGTAAACTCTTTTTGGCAAATCATGCAAACCAGATGGCTATCTCTAATTTTGGAATTTCTCAGACAGGTGTTAATCCAAAATTGTCTTCTCATTCTCCCTTAAATTCCAAAGAAAGCTAAAAACAAAACAAAACCTATAGAAAAATGCTTCAGACAAATGGCAGCAGCTCTGACCATAGCAATTTCTACTCAGAAGAAAGAAAAGTACTTATAGAGAAAAGGCACTGAGATTATTTCGAAATGAAAATGCTTTTGCTGTGGCATTGTGGGGAACTGAGGCACCCTCCACAGTGGTGGTTATTTACCATAGCACAAGTACGAAGCCCAGTAACAGGCTTCACTTTGCCATATGGGAAAATGCTGAAAAATAATTACCGAAGAATCCTTATGAAAACATAATGATAGAAATACCTGTGGTGCTTAAGGTAACAGATACCTCGTAAATTATGTTTGAAGTGACTGTTGCTACAAATCTCTTAAACAGGCAGCATATACCTAATTAGCAAAATACACCAATGGATTTTTAAAATCACACCAAAGACCAAGCTAGCTTGACACTATCTTATTTATGTTTTTAAAAAGACTTTATTTTTATAGCAATTTTAGGTTTACAGAGAAATTGAGCAGAAATACCCCCCCCAACATTATTTTAAATGTAGGTTTGTCTTTTATCACCCATCATTTCCTACAATTGCTAGCTATTAATAAAAGCACCTTACCTGCTAAGAAATATTAAATTGAGAGATTAAGTCTTAGATAGGTGAGTGTTAGGTAGCATTGAAGTACATGTTGTTAAGAGCTAGAAGAGGCCTTGAAGATCACATAGTTGGAATCTCTAATTTTATAGCTGAGGCCCATTTTTATAACTGAGGTCCCAAATGGTTTGGGATTTATCAAATATCACCCAGTTAGTAAGGTATGTGACCTTGGGCAAGTTACTAAACTTCCCTGAACTTTAGTGTCTTCATCTATAAAATGTACATATTGTAAAATTTAAATAAAATCATGGACAAAAAGAAAAACATATGTTAAAATTCCGATTCATGTAAGTATGATAATGTATATAATAGTAATACAGTGACACATACTGGGGTATATACACTCCAAGAAATTTCCAGTAGAGATGCAGGATGAAAAAAGTGTGAAGATCAGCAGAAAAAGGTACAGTACATGGGAGCTGGTAGTGTTCATTTCTCCAAAGTAATTGTCAAGAAATTTCCAGTAGAGATGCAGGATGAAAAAAGTGTGAAGATCAGCAGAAAAAGGTACAGAACATGGGAGCTGGTAGTGTTCATTTCTCCAAAGTAATTGTCGGATCTAGCACTCTTGATCTTTTTACTACTCCATGTGTCTCTGTCAAGAATCTAGGGACCCAAAACCAGCCTAGCTGTAAATGAAGAAAGGCTGAGCTACCTGTACAAAGGAGCATGAATTGCCTCTTATCCTTACAGATGGTCCCTCTGAATTGGAACTGAATCCAGTATAGACCAGTATAAGCAAGCTAACATTTCAGCTGTCTCTTCTGTACCTATCCAGTAGATAAGAAGAAGAGGTCAGTGTCTGGGTTCAATTAGATTCTTTAAATGTTTAATATTCAAGTGAATGACAAAATAATATAAATTTTCTAAAGTATATTTTTAGTCACTAGGAGTTTTAAGTTTTAATTTATTGAAACAAATTAATTGGGAAAATAATATAATAGAGAAATGGAAAGATGTTGGCATAGCCCTGTCCATAAATGCTATGAAAACATTTTTTTTTTTAATTTTGGAGATTTTAGTGCTCTTTTAGACATCTCGTCTAAATAAAAATGTAGAGCTTTTTGTAGCTAAAATAACTATTGCTTTATGTACATAAGGATATATATTAGGTTATCATAGGTATTAAGAAGATATGTATAAGGACCTATATTAGGTTTTCATAGATATTTTCTGGACTCACTTCCCCCATTTCCTCAGCTCTAAGTATTCTCCGAGGGTAATGGGGTGTATGGATATCCATTCTGATATATACATTCTGATATATATGTATATATATATCAGAATTAGAACAGTATATTATAGTATATATATATCAGAATTAGAACAGCATTGAAATTATAAGTTAACTTAAATGGTTAGTCTAACATATTTCCATCATGCTTAATAGGTAGCTTAAATAGAATATCAGCAAGTATTTTTCTACCAATTTATACTAAACTTAATAGTAAAAATTTTATAACTTAACAAAACAGAATAGCTAAAGTTAATCACCACATGCCACAGGTCTTATATTTTAGAACAGTTCCAATTGAATATTACCAGTAAATTATCTTTAAGGTTTACAGCATCTTTTTATGTTTTATTCTGGGGTGTTTTTATTTTTAAAATACAATAAAATATATTTTTTAAATTAAATCACATCAGTGGTCACTTTGGTGGATGACTGATTGGGAAGAGTCATAAGACAAATTTCTAAGGGGATAGAAATGTCCAATGTCTTAATGCGGGTGAGAGTTACACTAGTGAATGCTTTTATCAAAGATGATCAAACTGTACGACTTGAAATCTGAGCATTTCATTGTATGGAAATTATACCTCAATAAGAAAAACTTAAAAATAAATATATCAAGTACCAAAATACTATCTGATTAAAAATACCTAAATTGATGGTGCAGTGAGGGAGGCACGAGGAAAAGTGGTAGACTAATGGGTACAAAACTATGCTATCTACTCTAAGTGAATCACTATGCAGTATATGCATGTATTGAAACAACACACTGTACTCCACGAATGTGTACAAATAAATGTGAGAATAATTTTTTTTTAAAAATTAAAAAAATCTAAATCTCAAATACTGAAAAATGTCTATCTCTTATAGAGTTAAGAAAGAAAGATCAGTTAGGAAGCTATAGCACTAGGGTTTTTTTTTGTTTTTTTTTTGTCTTTTGTCTTTTTTCCGTGTCCGGCAACAGATCGCAACCCTCAGTGTTGCCCCCGTACTGGACCGGGGACCGGCAACAGGACCGCAACCCTCGGTGCTGCTCCCGCGCCTCGCTCAGCCAGCGAGCGGGAACCGGTCTGTATGTGGGATCTGAACCCTCGGGCGGGAGCGCCGCCGCGCTTCCCAAGCGGCGCACTTATCCAGTGCGCCACCGGGCCGGCCCTATAGCACTAGGGTTTTGACAGTGAGGAATGAAAGGAAAAGAAAGGAAGCGGAATGAACAGGATTTCATGGTTAAATGGACATGAGGGTGAGAGTGAGGGAGAAATCAAGGAGGACTCCCAGGTTTCTGGCTTGAGAAATGGACTTAGATGGACTGTGGTTCCATTTTCTAAAACAAAGAACACTGGAGGACAAAAACATTGGGTAAAGAATAAGTCCAGTTTTTGTACATGTTAAGACTGAATGTCTATGAGTCATGCAAGTGATATTTAGGAGACAGCTGGATGTACAGGTCTAGGGCTGAGAAAATAGAGATCAGAGCTGGAGGCAGAGGCTTGGTAGTCATAGGGAAAGTAACGGAAACCACGGGAATAGCTGCCATTGTTGGAGGAAAAAATTTAGATTGAGAAAAGGGGTTAGGACTAGCCCTGAGGATCTTCACTATCTAATCCTTGGGTAGAAAAAGAACAGCTGATAAAGGAGAGCATGAAGGAGCAGACAGGGTAGAAGAAAACCATAATGGTGTAACATGCACATCATGGAAAGGATTGCAAGAAGCAGAAAGTGGTCAGTGGTGTCAAAACCTGGAAGCTGAAAAGTATCCATTGGAGTTGGTGACATGCAAGTCACTGTTAACCTGACAAGAGCAATTTCATGTAAGAAAAGCCAGATTGCAGTAGGTTGAAGAGTAGGAGGCATGAAAATAAAAACCAGGTAGTTACCTCTTAAGAGAAATTGACGATGAAGAGGAGGAAAGATATAGGGCATTAGTGGGCTTGAGGCAGAGGTTAGAAGGGAGGAGATCCAGAGAAGAGATGAAGGGGCTAAATTCAGACTCCAGGAGAGACACTGACTCCACTGTACCTAGAGAAAAGAAGGGAGGGTGCACATATTTATATCTGAGAGTGGAGAGGTGGGATAGTTTCTGTCAGATGATTTCTATTTTCTGTCTTCAGATTAAAGGGAGACAGGAACTTAAAGCAGAAAAAATTACTGTTAACCTGTGTTGATTCCTCCATTTAATTTTAAATTATAGAACATTTCAAAATATAGGAAAAAATGTCCATATAGAAAATTAGAGAGGGCTGACTGGTTAGCTCAGTTGGTTAGAGCACAGTGTTGCAGCACCAAGGTCAAAGGTTCAGATACCCACATCAGCCAGGTGCCCAAAACAAAAACAAACAAAAAAATTAGAGAAAATAACATAGAAGGCAGCTCCATACCCACCACTAAATGTAAACAGATGTCAACAGTTGGCCATATTAATTTAAAACTCTTTTCTAGGAAGAAATAAAATGTTATGATCAGACCTAAACCCTTTCTCCTTACATTTCTCATCTTTCTCTTTATCCTCAGAGGAAATCATTACCTGGAAATCAGTCTGTATCATTCCCATGTATATGTTTATATTTTTACTATATAAAATAACAAGTTATATAGAACACAGAGTGCTATGTGCTTTGTGCTATGAGCACAAAGTTACAATAAAAGCTGCATACCAAAGTGAGGTGCCCAAGAAGTATACACAGTAAAAGCCAATCAGGGCTGGTCCTCTGATTCCACCCCTGAGTCACATCCAGGGTCAAGAGGAGGGAGGATTTGCAGAGGTTTCTTTGGAGCGATGTACTGTTCTACTGTGATTACTCTTGAGAGGAAGGGGTGGGGTGACCCTTCCTGGCCTCAAGCCTAGGGGAGGCAGTGGCTTCCACAGGACAACTCACTAGCTCAAAGCATATACCCAGGAGTTTGAGAAGCGGCTGGATTGGACTCTGAAGTAAAACCAAAGAATCCACATGTGAACATGTTCCAATTACTTGCTAGAGGTGGCAGAGCAGAGAGAGTGTCACCCAGATTTCAACAAGCTGCATCCCCAGAAGGTAGAATAAATTATCTTTCCATCTGCTTTTCAATAATAGCAATCATTTCAAAGGACTTGACTACTAGGGTTTTAGTGGGGCAGGAAGGGGGGAGGATGAACCAATTACTTTAGTTGTAAGTTCATTTACAAAAATAAGAAATTAAAGGAATACATTATTTTCAGAGCTTATAAAGTGCTTCAGCACTCTTCACCCTAGCAGAGCATTCCCTTAATACAGTCTATGTAACCAAAGCAAGAGTCATGAGTGGCCAGGCAGGCCAAATAGTTAAGATACAGGCAGGGCTCCTTCAACATGAGTAAGAACAAAAGGCAAGCTCTTTTCAAAGTTCTTATTGACTCAGAGCATGTACATATTCAGTTTGGCCAAACATTCTTTTTCCAACATGTGGGTGTTCAGAAAGTTTTATCAGTACTTTGCTCTTAAAATTCTCACCTAACCACCAATCCTCTATGCCACAAATGAATTTAAAGGATTCTTATTCACTCACCAAAACAATTATGATTCGTTGTTCTTAATTGTTGATATCTTGAAACAGAATTCAATTGATTGATCGCTTCAAACTGAATCAGCTGATGTAATTCTTTACATTGATTGCTAGGACCCATGCCCAGACTTACTGAATCAGAATCCTGAGAATACGCATCTTAAAACCTCCCTAGGTTATCCATATTAAATTTAGAGGGATGGGCTGGCCCATTAACTTGGTTGGTTAGAGCATGGTGTTGATAACACTGATGTCAAGGGTTCAGATCACCATATTGTACATCCACAAAAAAGGGAAAAAAATTAGGGGGAAGGGAAAAAAGCTAAATATGTAATGAAAACATAGGGAACATCTATGAATTTCTATCTAATGAAAACATAGGGAACGTTCTCTTAGGGAACATCTGTCTAGTTTATTAAAATGAGATTATATTGAACAACTACTTTACTAGCAGTAGTTCCAGAACTGTGCATCATTCAAGGTCCCTTCCATTCCAAGATTTCATTCAATAATAAGTGGTTTATTAATAATAAACAATAAAATAATTATTAATAAGAGGAATATGCTATAGTTATTAATCTGAACCAATAATTTTATTTAAAATCAAATTGGTTTATTTTTAGATAATTATAGAATAATATGGAGTTGTAAGAAATAATACAGAGATCCCTTTGCCCAGTTTTTCCCAGTAATAACATTTTGCAAAATTATAATATTACAACAATAATATTGTCACTGATACAGTCTACTGATTTTATTCAGATTTCCTGTTTTACTTATACTCTCAGGTGGGGGGGTGTATTTAGTTCTATACAATTTTATAATGTGTAGGTTTGTGTATCCACTACCACAGTTAAGATACACAGCAGTTCTATCACTAAAAGAATCCCTCACGTTGCCCTTTTATAACCACATCCACCTCTACCCTCTCCTCCCATTCCCTGGCGACCATTAATCACTTTTCCATTTCTACAGTTTTAAGAATGTTGTATAAATGGATTTATACAGTATATAAACTTTTGATATTGGCTTTCTTCACTCAACATAATTTCCTGGAGATTCACCCAGGTTGTTGTATGCTATGGCCTGAATGTTTGTGTCTCTCTGAAAATTCATGTTGGAACTTAATGCCCACTGTGATGGTATTAAGAGGCAGAGTTTTGGGGAGGAGGTGACTAGGCCATGAAGATGGAGCTTGCATTAATGGGATTGATGCCCTTATAAAAAAGGCCCCAGAGAACTGCCTTGCCCCTTCCACCATGTGAGGACACAACTAGAAGGTGCCATTCTGTGAACCAGGAAGTAGGCCCTCACCACACACTGAATCTGCAGATACCTTGATCTCAGACTTCCCAGCCTCCAAAACTGTGAGAGATACGTTTCTGTTGTTTATAAGCCACCCAATTTACGGTACTTTGTTACAGTAGTCTGAAGGGACTACTTCATTTTATTGTCCCTTCCATTTTATTGTTGCATAGTTTAGGTTCCTGTCCCATTCCCAGAATTTACTAATAAAGACAAATTTTAACTTAAAACTCTTAAGTTGTGATAAGTTCATGGGTGTTAGTTTTTCACTATGATTCATAACTTACAAATATTATACATGTAAATATATACATATATACATTTGTGTATGCCAAACATTACTTGAATTTTTAAAGACCAGAATATACCTCTCATTATAGATCTAAAGAATTCCCTTAGACCTAAAGGGAGAAAGGCAGAGAACAAAAGTGTTATATTAAAATAGACATAGTTTCCAAAATACTATAGAGTATTAAATACATGCAGAAAACTACCACTTGCTTCAACCTTCAAGCCCAACACATTTTCTTCTCCCAGGCTTGATAAGTCCAAAGGTCTAGAGCTTAGAGTCCAACAACCTCACTCAAATTTTCTACAAAATCAAAGTGGTCATGAAAATCTAAAGTTAGAGGCCAGGTTTAATAATGCAAAATATGCACTATCTATTTTTTTCTTGATATAGCTATACCTAATACCTCATATTACGAGACACAACATCACATATACATGCATAGAGGAGGCCATAGAGTTAATTAGGCCATTATTTCCAGCCACCTTACTCATGCCAAAACATATTCGCTTTCTTCCTAAGGGTAAAATTCAACACTGACACACTAAAATACTGTAGTTTACATAACTTACTCCCAAGCTCATCAACTGGTGTGTGAGGCGTTACAGGCAGGTCAAGATACCAATCACCTCAATCTCAGGTCAGTCATCTCCAGCTGACAGCAGCCCAGTCTGTTTGCCGTAGTGCTTTACACATTATCCTTCTCTTTCATGCCATGATGTGAAAACAATGGAGAAATAATTGTTTATTCATTTGTCTCCCTAGTTGAAGAATATTTCTGCTTTGAGAATACTACAAAGATGGATGCTCAGTCAGTAAAGGATAGAAAAAAATATGTAATTATTCTCTCTATAATCAGCCCCTTTTATATCAGTTAGGGTGAAAATTGGATAGTTGGCATGTTCCATAACATACTCTTTGTAAGTGAATTAAATAATCTCTAAAGTTCCTTCTAGCTCTATGAGCTATAACTAAATTATTTTATTGAATTGGCACACAGAGGGCAACATAATGTAATATGCTGTGCATAACATATTATGTACCCAGAGGCCTCACCCGCTTCCCTGCCTCACAGCCCCTGCTCTGGCAGAGCCTTTTGTCTCTTTCTGCCCATTTCCTCTGATCTATATCTTTCTTTCTCTTCCTGCCAGGGCCTCCTTCCCATTTTGTCAAACTTAGAAAATAAAGAACTGATCAATGTTGCCATTCTGGAAAAAGGTAAAATAACCGGCAAGAAGTCCTTAAACCCAATGTGCACACAAATGGGATGTCTCAGCATATAAGTTCTCAGGTGTTCAATCAATGCATACAATTTTTTGAAATCAAAGAAAATCAGTGAAATGATTATTAGAATATGCAGAGAATATAATACTATTTCTTTTCCTCATTTCTCTCTCTCTCTCTGACTTCCAATTGGGGAAAAGGAGGATCAAAAGAGATTTTAAAAGGTAGGAGCAAAAGGCAATGGAGAACAGAAACATGTACCTAAAAAAGTGCCTGGCACATACTACATGATCAATAAATATCTGTCGAATGAATTGGATTAATGAGCATGAAAGGGAAGAAAACATTTTTAAAATGTGGCAATGGGGAAAAAACATAAACAATGCTAAACAATGGCTTATACCAGGTCTTTGTATTGTCAGCATTTCAATTATCATACGTGAGGCTCTTTTATATAAACTTTCCCTCAGAGTAAGAACAGGAAGGCATGAGGGAGTCAGTGAGGAGGAATATTGCAATGAAGGTGAGGACAGGGGAGATAGATCCCACATAAGAAAGCGGGCACACACCCCACACCCTGCTGTACTTCTAATCTCGGGGAGAGTGGTGTTCAAGGCCCAGGTCTCTATTTTCCTTCTTCATCCTGCCTTGCTGTAATAACCTGCTACCACGCCACAGCAGTATCTGCAGATCTACCTCCACTACATATATTTAGGGCAGCAGAATTTAGGACTCAGAAAGATGAACTGGCATGCCCTAAATATATGAGTACTTAGTATTCACAGACTTCACATCCAAGTTCAAGTAGTTTACCTGAGGGAAAAGGAAGAGATTCACACACACAGACAAACACTCCTATGATCTCTTTCTATAAAATACAATTAAAGAAAAATACATACCATTACCAATTAATGAGAGGAACAAAGGCAAGATACAACCTAGTGAAGGAAACAGTACAGTTACTTCATCTTACTTATAGATAATGGATCTCATCAGGGTAATTTTCAGTTTTCCCTAATGATAGTCAGGATGATATCAGCCAGGATAGTTGGCATCTATTTAATGTTTACTAAATGTTAAGAACTGGAAGAAATGTCAAAAGATCATCAGAGAATCCTCACATTGCTGGTGAGGATGTAATGGTGCAGCTACTTTGTAAAACAGTTTGGCAGTTCCTCAAAAAGTTAAACACAGACTTACCATATGACCCAGCAATTCCATTTGTAGGTGTATATTCAAAAGAACTGAAAACATATGTCCATACAAAAATTCGTACATAAATGTTTATAGCAACATTACTCAAAACAGCCAAAAAATGGAAACAGTCCAAATGCCCATCAACTGATGAGTGGATAAACAAAATGTGATGCACCATCCAATGGGATATTATTCCATCACAAAAAGGGACTAAGTCCTGATACATGCTACAACATGGATGAACCTTAAAAGCACTATGCTATGGTACTGGTATAAAAACAGAGACACTGATCAATGGAATAGAATAGAGCACCCAGAAATCAACCCATGCACTTACTGCCATTTGATCTTCGACAAAGGCATCAAGTTTATTCACTGGGGTCGGGACTCCCTCTTCAGCAAAGGGTGCTGGGATAACTGG